CCAGCCAGTAGTTGAAAAAATTTAAAGAATATCATTGCTATGAAGCTCATATCAATAAATATCGAATCAGATGGAACATTTTTGGTTATGTCTGAGCCGCTTTTTACCGAAATTGTATAAATTTGCTTCTAGGCTGACTCCATATTATTTCATATTTGAGCATAATAAATTTTAAATCAGATAATGATATGTGTGGGAGCTTTATCCAAATCTGTACCGATTACCACTAACATCATTCGTCCTGGTAATTGTATATAAAATAAAAACGTGGACATATGGGCGGAAATGCATAAATCTTCTAAGTCGATTTATGAATTTCCGCCAATATGTCCACGTTTTTGTGCTCCAATGCAGAACAACTGAAGGAACTCCTGATTTCTTGCTGATTTCGTTAATTATGCCGTAAATTAGTTATGTTTCAAATATTCACCATTCACGTTCATAATGTTATCGATATAATATTATGAATAATATTTTTACCTTGGAAAGTGTTGGCATTTTTATTCGGGATACTGATGAGAATTGGCGCTTCTTTCCAAAACCATGTTAATCCCTGTCTTACCCCCTGGTAAACATTACCATCTTTATCCACAAATAAATAAACAACGTTCTTATAAAAACAACAATTATGAGATAAACTATTTTACAACAGCAAAACAAGGAAACTCTTTTAAATATTAAAAACTAGCTGGCACTGCCGCGCCGGCCCGTACTTTTAGTATTTAATGCACATTTTTTAAAGCATAATAACTCACAGATCTGACTTATGTAAGCGACACAATTTTTATTATAAGTAATGATAATATTAATTTCTAAATAGAAATAAATATTCATGCAAAAATTTTAATAGATGCTCAACTACCGGCGGTTTTAGATATTTTGAATAGCCTTATCTTATTCAGCCATATGCTTTAATTTGAGTGCAAAAAACCTATATGATAAAGAACACCTATAACACCATGTGGAACTCAGCTCAATTTGATTTTAGAATAGTCAAAGATAATTACACTTTTACACCCATTACCGTAAGACGGGAATTAATTTTTTGGTCATTTAAATTGTGCGTTACAGACCTCATTAAGTCCATATTTTTCATCATAGTGTAATTCAATGACGATTAAACAAATGTTCGGTCCCGTGCTACTTTCTAATGTTTGTAATTTTTTCATATTTCTACCACAATTTCTGAATAAATGAGTCCCAGTTTGACATTTCGGAGTTTATTTCATATAAACGTACATCCCAAATCTACGTTCCCAACCAATATTCTCTTGGGGGTTACAAATTCAAAAGAATACAGAATTTTAATACACTAATCAGGGAACTAAACTTAAATAAATGCCTATGTGTCCAATCCGCTCTACTATTTTGCGCTCTTTATATTCGATATTTCAAAGATTGGAGTCCCAATGAATCTTGCATTTTTAGTTTGCATTGGTCGGATTATTGTCATATGAGAGAAGTGGGCCCACGTTTTGAAATGAGCCTCATAACGCTTTGTCGATCATTTTTGTTTGTTTCAAACTTCACATCTTCCAGCTGAGGCACGATGCAGGTCCTGTAGTTGAAAGCTTGATGCCAATTTTAAACATGAAAGATCGCCATTTAATATCGTTTTTCGCACTCATTTCATTTTTAATGTTATTTATTCAGATTTGAATACAATAAAAATTGTAAACTTCAAAATAATGTGTCGAATTGAAAAAAATTCACTCCAAAAAGTTTATTTTTCATTCAAATTTTTATTGGCATATTTCACACGATTTTTTTTGCCAAGGTACCATCCCGAAATTGTATGAATTGTTAAAATTCGTTAAGCCGTTCTTGAGTTATAAGCGTAGTAACTAACATAACATTCTTTTATATGGTGAAAATAATTCCTTATTTTGTTCACAAAAAACGATCAATTAGCCAAATTAAAAAAAAAATCGTACAAAAAGGAAAAAAAATGAAAAGAAGTCATCAACTTATTCGCTGATAGCGATTAAAAAAAAAGTAATTATCCTTTATGTTTGGTGTGAAGGCGTTAAATTATTTCGACATCATCTACTCATTTTCGCCACCACATAACCACATAATTCGGTACTACACTTCCACATAATCCGCCTGAATTTCAGTTATCGAGAAATCTAGTCATTAAATAATCTTAATCAAATTGAAAAAACCTTATTTATAAGCTTATACTTACAATTGTAGAATAAGCTTACAAAGGTAATATTATATTAAGCTTATTCATCTAATAGTATAAAACATTTATTTTTCATTTTTAATAATTTTACACGTTTTATTCATTGATGGCCATCCCAGCTGTCAATGCCTCCTGTCCCCTTGATTCCTAGACGCTTTCTTTTCCTTTATTCCAGCTCCTGCATCTTCTCCACTATTACTACACTTCTATTGAATTCTTGCAACTTTTTGACGCCTCCATTCTGAAATGAGATTGAAATAATAATAATATATACCACAGATCCCCAGATTTATTATTCATCATTACCTTAAGAGTTTCGTCCGGAAATGGGTAATAGATTCGCGCGATTTTGCTTTTTACCAAAAGAAAACTATTTTTTGTTGACAATTTCTACAAAAAAATCAAATCAAATTTGTTAACAAATGACAGATTTGAGAAAAGGTTGTGCAACATAAGTTTTTACAATCATTGTTAAAAAATTGTTAGGATCAATTATTTTTATAATATTATTCTCGAGCTGTATTGTATTTTTGGTGTGTTGGGTCAACTGTGTATAGAGAGGCAAAGAAACACTTGCAAAACACAAACAATTACTACAAAAAAAAACAAAAAAAAAAAAAATGGACACACTCAAACTAACCAAGATCAACAATTTATGCCCCAAAATTGTATACCTTTTATATAGCCTCTGCCATATGGGAACATAGATAATTTATGGTTTGTGTGCGCGATAAGAATTTCCGAAAAGAATATCCGATTTGGTCCAAAATTGGTAATTCCACATATTTTTCTGAAACATTATTTAAAAAATTACATACCTCACAGAAGGAAGCATCCAATTTTGCTTTAGCTTGGTATATCGCCATCTCTGGTGCGAACTCAATATAGATGCACTTGTACCTAAATCTTATAAAATATGAAGTAAGAGTTCTAATCTTTTCAAATTTCGCATATCCAACTATTTGAATATCTCTAGATCTTATTTAAAGATGGCAACTCTTCTACAACTATTCAAGATTTTAAATAAAACAAAAAAAGTTCATTAAATGCGAACTAAGCATCCTACTATTTTCTAACTTGACATATCCTAATGTTTCTACCAACATAAAATCTAGTGTGAACATGGGTCTTATCTATCTACTCGTTCTGATACCACTCTCGCAAAGAATAATACATATGAATAATAATTTCAGTGAAATGGGAAATAAGTGTCAAAGAACACAAGGGCACAAAGAATATTACAACATTTTTACCTTTATTAGAGCTCTTTAAGATGGAATATTTGAATCCACTTTCTCTGTACCTACTCCACAATAGCATAGACTAATAACGGTATAGACTACTAAGTTTTAATGTTTATCCCTCCCGGCAGGCCACCATGGTTTATCATTGGGACCGTAATGCCACTCGATTTCAAAAACAATTTATTAATTTTTCTACTTTTTATGTTGTACATTTTTATATTTCACGACATAGTCGTATAATGTAAAGGTAAATAAAGTCACAGCCTTGTTTTCAATTGATTGTGTTTTGAGAGAATAGACTTAAGCTCTCATACAACAATAGTAGAATATAAGTAGGAATTAGGTAAGGATCGAAAATGGACAGTATTGTCTGACCCACTCTTTTATCTCCAAACATATCTCATATGAAACGAATCGGGTACACGATAAAGTTCAAATTGGGCCTGTTCTAATTGTTGTATGTGATTTAGGTTAGTAGAGAACATGGACAACGCATGGATATGTGAAAATTCATGGAAGTTATGCGGAAATTGGAGACTTGAATTCTGAAAGAGCATACTGGAAAATCTTAAAAAAAATAAACTAAATATGGATCACCCAAGCACACTATCAATGAATTATCGGCCAAAAAAAATGATAAAAAAGGGTCTCGATGTAATGTAAACACCAAAGATTGACGCAAAATGTATGCGATAATAAATATGACGACCCCAAATGACATTCGTTACTGACAAGGAATGTTTTGATTGGATTGTATTGCCGTGGAGAAACAAATAAAATACCTCAGGAGGTTGTGCCAAAACAGCAATTTCATACTGTCACCAGAGGAACATATTTTTGTGTATTCGACAGGGAATATTGGATTGTATTACCGTAGGAAATCAAATAGTATGGCCCAGGAGTTTGTGTCAAAACGCCAATTTCACCCTGCCACTAGCGCAGCATAAACCCTTTAAACTTTTCAAGTTTATTGCTAATTACAATTAGACCTCTTTTTTAACATTATTAAATTTTACAACGTTATAATTGAGATCGATTAAAGATATGCACATGGCTTATTTGGGTAATACGGCCGTACATTCCAATTTTTACGACATGGCGAATCTGCACAAATTTTACATATTCATATACATTCTTATGTATGTTGTTTCACCCAAATAATAAGCAGAATTTTCCGTGTTTATTTGTTCGAATAACAATCATGAGGATTTTTTGGAGGATTATTGTTTGTGAGATGTATTTCCTTACCGTAAAAACTGGCATTTGTTAAATCTATTATTTAAAACATAAACTCGAAATTCTAATGTTTTGGGAATTTCGACATTGTGTCAGTTTTAAGTCTGAACTGAATTTGTTGAATGCTAACATTTGATGTATTACCAAAATTTAGAATTGATATATCATATCGGAAGTTTTACAACAGTTTCTGTTGTGGAGTAAAATTGTTGCTAGAGCTATTACCGTGGAAAGTCTTGGATTTTGCGGCAGATTAAATATTTGCATATAAACTCACTTTAAAAAGCTGTATATATCCATTCAATTGACAAGTGTGTATTATTTCTTTTCAGGAAATATCTCATACTACATCAAACGTGGGATCGATTGGTAATCACGATACCATTTTAGTTAACAGCACAACAGTATCAAACAGTGCGGTAGAAACAATAACGATTCATCAATCTGGAAATAAACAGTGCGAATTCCCACGACATAGACTAAAATTTTTTCACATATTAGGAGAAGGCGCTTTTGGACAGGTTTGGCGCTGTGAAGCCACTGATATCGGTGGTGAGTAAAGAATAAAATTAGAATTATGAAATCATTTACAAGGTATCAAAGACATATAATATATAAAGATGGGACATTTCATTTCTACTTTGATTCAATAGATGGCGTTGGTAGTGTAAAAATATGTTGTCACCATATCATGATATAGCATTATGTTGTAATTTAAATTTCGAAATAACTTAATTTGTAACGTTTCTAATGCATTTATGTCATGTCGTCGGACATCTTCTGCCTGATTGAAAAATGAATGGTTCATATGCATTTTGTCTAATCTTCATAGTTTTATGTCTTTGTACGGATTTATATGAACCTATGTGAGTAATTTGTTGATCAGTTCCGATTATAGACAGAATTTATATTTTTCCAAATCTTTTTATTACTCTGGGAGGGTATAATATGTTGCTTTTGGTACAAAAGCAAATAAAAAAATGATATTGAATTTTTATATATGCAGCATTTATTGCTAATACTAGTCTACGAATTGAACTGCAAAATATTCTATGCAGCGATAATGTTCTATGCAGCGATAACTATGACGTACATGGCATATTTTCTGACGGATCACACAAACTAAAAAAAGTAATAAACCTCGGCAAATAGAGTTTTTTACAGAAATATGATCAATCTGATATTTCGACCTATAAATTTTATTGGTCTTTCCCACACTCTCCTTAATATATTCAATTCCTGTAAAATTTGTTTACATATTCAGTGCAATATCAACAGCCGACGATGATAGTGAAAACTATATAAGTTTTTTAAGTTAACTTAACGGTTATTGTTTACAAATCCCCTGAAGATGCAATTTATACAATTGCGAAGTATCAGAGATCAAAAATGAAATAAAATAAAAAACTGACCTAAAGCTCAAAAAACTCGTATTATTAAATATATTGGAAAATAGGTCGAACAAACTCACACTTATAATTTATTCCTGTAATACTTTTAATTAAAACTTTAGTCTGCTCATTATATATGTTAATGCGCCGAAATTGCGCTCCGATAAAGGGGGAGAAAAAAATAGAAATAAAACACGATCGTTTTAGTTTCTTGCAAGTTAAATTAATGAATTCTTTATTGATATTATTATCAATAGGTAACCAAATTTACCTTAGTTATTACACACGAACGTGTAATGTTTACAGTGTTGAGTACGAACATTCAACCGATAGCCAGCAGGAATCTTACTTAAACATTAGCCGGCCACCTTACAGCATCCTGGGATGGTGTAACAATATAAATTAATTCGATAAAAAGTATAAAGTGTGGGTACAGTGCAACATGTGAGCAGTTTCGAAAGTAAACTATAAACAAATTGATAGTTCAAAGTCACCAAGAACCCACAGTTATGAAATGCTTTACGTATTTTCACGTGACGAAGACGAAAAGCGAAAGCTGTGGTCTTTAATAATTCTAGGGTACAAGTCTGCTCCTATCAAAATATCTACTGGACTCGACTTGAACAATTTTGAATCTGCTAACACGACATTAGATAGTCGATTTCTGAGGTCGAACGTGGCCGCAAGCGAGGGTAGATTTCCTGAAATCGAATTCAGCACGACCGCTGAAGTTTTCAGGGACAATGAATGGTCCAGGCTACTTCTGATTTCAATATTACAAACATTCTTTGAAGTAGCCGCAAGCGAGCAATTAACACCCGAAATGGTGGATTTGGACGAACAAATAGGATGCTTAAGTTCCTTTTGAAGTCGCTCTGTGACGAAAGAGGACTCGGAGGCCGGATCTATCAACGCCCTAGCAGAATACGAACCACCTTGATGAACGACTTTCACCATGGCTGTGCCATTTCTGCGCATTTGTGCCATTTCTGCGTGAAATGCCTGTCGAACTACATCTCCAGCCGATGTGGAGGAACGAGATGCATTTGAACCGGGAAATTGACTAGTAGTTGGGGAACAATTCGAGGGACAAAAAGATGGAGCCGAAACTGACAAACGCGAACTTGGAGGTGTTGCCATTGGAATTGGACTATTTGCTGTTGAACCATCTCTATGAAGCAATGTGTGATGACTACGATTACAAATCAAACACAGACGACAACTTTTACAATTTTTGATTTCATGTCCCTTGCGCAAGCAGTTGATACAAAAACGATGACGCTTCACCGTAGAGAATCTTGCCAAAAGGGTCATATTTTTGAAATGACGACATTCAAAAAGAGGAACAAAGCAAGCAACAAGAGCGATATGACTGCCGAGGAGATAACGTACAGGAACGAGATTGATCAGCCAGTTTTGGTGACGGTTCTACTTCTATCATGTCGTGAAGACAAGTGAGAGTACGAATTCTCTCCGTCAGAAAACTATCCAAGTCCTTCCACATAGAAATCGCAGTTTTATTTTTGACACTTTGCTCCCACAGTGTTAGTGTGATTTTTGGCAAACGTTGGAGACAAACGAAAACGATAATTGGATCCCAATGATCCGTAGGAATGTCATATATGGACATCGCCGAAAGACATCCATTAATGCCGCGTTGAATTACTTTCAAACCAGAGCTACTTTCTTTTTCAAGAACGGGAAGCGCGAAAAGAGATTTCAAATGAGTATGGACGAGTAACCGAGGGTTATCATATTCGTCCTTTAAGGCATTCCACGCTACAATGAAACTGCGGTTGGTCAGAGGGAATCTCGAGACGATTTCTCGAGCTTCTCCGCTGGTTTTGCGCTCGAAATAACAAAGGCGCTCAATATCGCTCAAACGCGAATTATTTATATAGACCGCGCTAAATAAATCTCTAAACGTGGGCCAAATTTGAAATTACCATCGAAAACGTCTATATCACAAGGAGGCAAAGCTAGGTTATGAACACTGTCTATTAGAGGAGGATCCACAAAACTCTTAACGACACTAGGACCCTCAATAGACGATATTGGGGAACTAGCTTGAACACCAACTTCACGAGAAGTATGAGTGGAAGAGTTCAAGTTTATTAAAGCTACATCGAGAGACTGTGCTTCTGGAGGAATATCACGTGGATGCTGCGATAACGATGCTAATGAACCGCTACGAGACGAGTTCAACGAGGACTTTTTCGACCGACTAACCCCAGACAGCCTGTTTTTTAACTGACTTAAGCAAACTATATATTTTTCCCTAGCTTCCTCATATTTTGAATAAACGGCATTAAAATCCCTTTGGGTGGCTGCACCTGACGTTTCCAAATAAGTTTCGCATAATTCGAAACTCTCATCAGAAAATTTGAATCAATTGCGAATATTCTAAAATATGTGCCAAAATTTAGAAAAATATCACACAAATCGAAAATTGTCTACCATAAAAACTCAAAATATCGACCATAAAAACTCAAAATATCGACCAAGATATCCAGTTTTAGATTAAAATTTATTGAAAACCTCAAAAATAGTCTTTGTTCAATTAACTAACACAATAGGTTAAATGTGCCGAATATAGGGTGCACGTTACTAAATTTGTCTAGAATGCTTTCAACTATTCATACACACAATTATATGTAATATTCATTAACAATTTCTAACTTTGTATCATACGTGTTACTTAACCACGATCGACCGACCCAAGTGGTGTAGCGTACACGCAACAAAGAAGAACAACCAATCAACGTATGTCTATTACCGGTCTACTACTGTACTTGATGTACTAAAATAATTGATGCTTATATTTGTTGTTAGTTTTTATTTTATTTATCTCATACGAACATGAGATCACAACACAAATGTGACAAAACAAAAAGTGATAACATTCATGCAAAATAGAATGCGCCAAACTCACTGTTTTTTTCTTTCTTCCAAATTATTTTTCTTTTGCACTTGCACTGTTCGATGTTGTTGTCCATGACAATTGGACTTTGACCACAAACGAAAAAGGGAACTCCGCGACGCGTTGTAAAGTGGTCGTTTTGTTATTTTAATATTTTTGTTTATTTGTTTTCGCGGGCTCACAACAGTAAAAATGCACTGCACCTACCTTTTGTTTATAAAGGAATATTATGATGATGGGGATAATAATGATGTTGATGCAGATGATGTTATGGTGATTACTTCTTCCACACGAGCATAGAAGGCAAGAACCGAAAGTACATCAATAATAATGGACTGTATTTTTCTGTAATGGCTGCAAAATCCAGCTCGAAGGACCAAATGTTAATGCGCCCACCCGGGGGCGCCAACAATGTTTAGCTCAGAGGGGCTCCGCCGTTGGGAGTAAAACGCCGAATGCGTCGAGCAGTGGACCGTAGGGGGGAAATATAAAAAGAAATAAAACACAAGAGTTTTTCTTGATATATGTAACTATTTATTCTTTGTTTGGTTAGTGGGTAACAATATTACCTGTGGCAACAATATGCCCTTCTATGCACAATGATATGTGCTACAAACGATATTGCCGGTATTGTCTGTCCGAGTGACAGCGAAGTACTACTTGATGTCTAAAGGAGGCGGCAAAACAAGTGACAAATAATTAGTAGTTAAAATGTCAAAGGCGCTAGCACAAGGTTGCAATAAACCGTAGCACGTACATTTTAACGACTAATTAAGGACCAAGCCAGGGGTCAATAAATAGCAATATTTTATGCAATTCTAAATTAAACATGCCGACCCCCTTGAAACATCAAAGCATGTTTCAACACAATTATCTTAATCTATATTAGTTCCGGTAGTAGGTACGGTTTGTATAGTGCAGTGTGAGCTTTTTTACGAACTAAATGTAGGGAATGGAAACGCAGATGAATCCGCAGTAACAGATTCGGGATCCATCTCCGCTACAACGATAATATGAAGCCGCAGATGAATCTGCAGTAACAGATTCGGACTTCAATCAAGCTATATTTATACACGAAATGTAGTACTTTGAAGCCGCAGATGAACCTGCAGTTACAGATTCGGACTTCAATCGAGCTATGTGTTTCTCGAAACGATATTCGAGGGTGGTTCCAATTGAGACCCTGGAAAGAGCCACCAATCCTCATCAGTTCCCTTGTTTCTTGTCTGGGATATTCTCCC